AATAGTCATCTTAACTCAGATTTGTTGCAGACTTGCTAGTGAAGAGTTGTGAATTACAAGTTGTACATTGCTGATTATGATAAAAGTATTTTTTAAAATAATGCAAAACAGACAAGCTGAAAACAACTGTCTCTTGCTGTGGTTGTGCAGGTTAAACAATAGGAAGCCAGTGGCTTAAGGGCTCGTGACAGTATTCATTTAAAAAACACACAATATGGATGGACCTGGAGAATATTATGCTAAGTGAAATAAGCCAGGCAGAGAAAAACAAACATCACATGATCTCACCAATATGTGGAATCTAAAGAACTTTATAAACTGATGAACAAAATAGATTCAGTGACATGGATGCATGGATCAGACTGATGAATATCAGAGGGACGGAGGAGGATGGGTGGGTGGAGGGGGAGAGATTAACCAAAGAACTCATATACATATATATACAACCCAAGGACACGGACAATGGTGTGGAGAGGGACTGGGGAGGGAAGTGGGACGGGGTGGAATGGGTCATTGGGGAGAAAAAGGGACATCTGTAATATTTTGAACAAAAACAAACAAAAACTCACAGAGATCTCTCTGGTTATCAAAGGCTACACAGTGGCAAACAGACTAACTGGAGATGTTTTGAAAGTAGATTAGCAAAAAACTGAAAAGGCAGTTTTAAATGATCTTTATTCACTTTACCTTCACCCCACTGTTAAATCCTTAGGCAAAGTCAGGGTTATTATTTTCTTATAGAGTGGCTCTTCTTAAGTAGCATTCAAAATAAACAGAGCTAATTGGAGAGAATATATATTTGAATTTCTCTTTGCAGAAGCTGACTAGGTAAAAAATTATGACCTATTGAAAATGACAAAATACACACCTATACAATTGTTTATTCATTAATAGGCTTTAATTATGTGTAAGAATTTAGTCATAGAAATTGTGAGCATCCATTTAGAAAGTTTTCAAGTTTATTTTGTACTACTATACCTTCATTGCTCTAGTGCATTATGCTATAACATTTATTAGCTCAGTTTTCACAGATGGCCAGTTATATTAAACTTTACATTATCCGTTCACTAAAACTAAAAATTGCATTCATGGATGTAGTATATAGCATTTCTGATATCATTATTAAGCTTAGTCCTAGTGGCATCAATTGTAGGAATAAGCATTTGCTCTCTCTTAGTTTTTTGTTTTTTTAAATTTTTTTTTAAAATATATCTTTATTGATTTCAGAGAGAGGAAAGGAGAGGGAGAGAGAGAGATATAAAAACATCAATGATGAGAGAGCCATTGATCAAGCCCGCAACCCGGGCATGTGCCCTGACTGGGAATCAAACCCCGATCGCCTGGATCCCAGATCGACGCTCAACGGCTGAGCCACGCCCAGCTGGACCTCTCTCTTAATTTTTTGCACTCAGTTGCTTTGTCATTCACTAGGCTTCTCTCACCTAAGCACCTTGTATGGATGGCTATCTTAGCTTCATATTTAAATGCCATGTTGCAGTTGAACTTTTGAATATATCTATGTCTGATCCCTCCCACTAGATTGTAATCCCGCATGGGAATTTATTCTGTTTTTCTTTAGACATGTAAGAAAACCTAAAATAAAGTTTTTACACATGTAATAAGTACCCAAGAAATACTGCTGAAATGGCTACTAAATACAGCTTTGGATAATTATTTTAGATTTTAGTGCATTATAATTGGAACCCCTGTCAGTGTTCATTAATCTGATGAACAAAATAGAAACAGAGGAATGGATACATGGAACAGACAGGTAGCTGTTGCAGGGAGGTGTGGTTCTGGATGAAAGAAGGTGAAGGTATTAGCCAAGGAACATATATGCATAGCCCATAAACACAGATAACAATGTGGTGATGGCCAGAGGGAAGGGGGGATGGTGGGGCTGAGTGGAGGTGGACAAAAGGGAGGGGTGGAAATGAGACATCTGTAATAGTGTCAACAATAAAAATAAAGTAAAAAAATAAGTTTAAAAAAGTGTCGGCTGAGACAACATGACAGAAGTTGATCATAAAACAAGATAAAACCCCACCTTGATTAAATGTTTTATGGTAGATTGACACTTCATGAAAAAGACTTTTGTTTTCCCATTTGAAGTATGATTATTGAAGTTTCGTTCTTCCTTTGAAACTTGAACATTCACACTGGGCTCCTTCTAAAACAGATACAGATACCTTGTCAGTTTCCTTCCTTTAAAAGAAAATTTATCCTTGTCATGACAGACAAGAAGCTTACTGAGGCTAGCTGGGAAGCAACTGTTTCCTCCAGGCAGCATTCCTCAATAGCCCTGTTCAGTGTCTTTGGAGGGAAGGATACCTTGAATTTCAAACCCTGACATGTGGGAAGAAATAACCGGGCACTCACTGGATGGAGGTGAGGAGCATGGTTTGCTCTTTGAAGAAGTGATTTAAATTCCTGGATAGTGCCATTGTCCACTTGGAAGTGCATTTGTGTGGTGAAAAGAGTACTGATAACTTTTTAACTCCAAAATATTTTTTCTGTAGAAAATTTAAATTTTGTTCCTTAGTGAACCCTTGTGACACCCATTGCTAATTATTCTTGCATTGTATGATTTTCAGTCCAATTGGGGAATTAGGAAATTAGCATCACCTGAAGCCCTTTTATCAGGATGTGTTTTAGTAAACATGTGCCTGTAAGTGTATAACAAAAGCAATAACTCTTTAGATATAAAATATCCCTTGCTGGAAATAAATTTGATATGTGAAATTTTGGACTTACAAGTTAGGAAACATTTTTTTTTACATTTCCCAAAGATTCAAAGCTGAACAAAAATGTTCATGTTTAACAGGACAGAACCTACTTTAAAAAAAAGTATTATTATGGTCTATTCTCTTTAGCCCTATGGAGCTGTAGAGTGCTATAGGTTGCATGTGTACTTATTGTCAGGTAATTCTAGAACATGGGAGAAATACTTGTGGTCCAGAGATAATGGCTGGAAGGTAAAGATGCCAGTGAAGGTATACTATAATGCCCAGTGATAACAAGCTTGGCCACCATCTTAACTCGGCAGAGTTAACAGTGCTCTCAACATAGTAAGCATTCACTAAGGTAAAAAGGCTTCAAAGAGTCATTTATCTTAAAAGTCCTCTGCCTTTTTGTCTTACAAAAACATGACAGATGACATTCACCCAGGGCCACATATAATTCTTAACTAAACATTATCTCTCCATTAATTAAAAAAATATCTTTTGCAATGGCAAGTGCCTCAATGTACCATATTTATGGGGTATCTTTATATCTACTTAAATTTGTAAATATGCAAATGATAGATAAATTACTTGATATAATTTACACTAACTCAATACTTCTTATTGCATCATGGAGATTGAAAACCACTGAGTTAACTGAACCTTCTATCAAGTGTCTAGTCCAGAGATTTTCAACCTTTTCCATCTCATAGCACACATAAACTAATTACTAAAATTCTGCGGCACACCAAAAAATATATTTTTTGCCATTCTGACAAAAAAATAGGTATAATTTTGATTCATTCACACCAGATGGCAACTGTTATGTGGGTTGTTGTCATTTTTTTTTATTTGACAATCTAAGGGAAAAGAAGTCAGGGCCTCTGACTAAATAGTCAGATATTGCATGTTTTAAAAATTCTTGTGGTGCACCGGTTAAAAATCACTGGTCTAGTCCATTAGACACCCACTCTTGATTATTTGACTTTTACATTGATTTTTCTCAAAATTTAAAAGGGGGTATATGTTATATTTAGGAATGAAAGTTTGATTTTATAAGCTAATAAGGAAATAGGATTCCTGTTAGAAAAATTACTGACCTTTAAAGAAGGGCATTCGATACTCTGATCTAAATAGCCTATAGAAATGTCAGTTCTTATTGGGAGAAATTGAGAATTTTTTTCTTTGGGGTTATGTGATGACAGAGAAAATTACTTACACATAAGCGACTTAGAAGGACAAAAATACAAACCTCTTTGTATGCGCGTGTGTGTGTGTGTGTGTGTGTGTGTAAATCCAGAGAGGACTTGATTGTATGGAAGTTTTTTGTTTTGTATTTTTACTTCCATTGGGAAGACTGCTTCTTTTGATTGTATATTTTTGATTTTCTACCCCATGTTTCTTTTTATTGTGACTCCATGAAGAAACTTTTGATTATGCTCTGCACCTCAGAAATGTTAAATAAGAATTTTAAATTTGGACAAATTACCATAGTGTGTCGAATTAAAGTTCTAAAAGAAATTCATATTAGAGGAGAAGCTTAATTAATATTAATTTTACTATTTTAAAACTTTCTTCTAGGTATGATTAGGAGACAAAACAAATGTATTATCTCTACCTGTTAACCTAGCTGAAGAAGTAGCACAGATACATATGAAAGATACCTTAGCAACACATGTTAAGGGCTAATGAGTGGTACAAGTGTATTCTAGACTTAGTATACAAGCAGACTTAGCTCATATCTTCTTACTCAGTTTCTGTTCTAAACAAGGAACATCGAGACATAGAGTGACTCTGAGGCTTGCAACATTCTCAAGGAAAGATTCATTTCTGTTCACTACATGATGTTTATTAAGACAGGTAGTGGACTCGGGTTGTCTGCAAGGACTTTCAACAAGGGCGGAAACTATGAAAGGCTTATAGATAACCAGAAAACAAAGCTTCCCACTACTCATACTTTTGAGTTAACTGTATTTTAGGTTATTGATGTGCATCAACTAGCCTTACTCTTGCATCATTAGATGTGGGAAATTTTGATGAAAAAAAAGAAAAAGTCATTTTGATAAAAAAGATTTGTGTCCTGAAAGCTCTTCAATGTGAGACATTGTTAACAACAAAATAATAAAGAGGGAAAACCATATATCTTCTGTGAAACCACAAGTCTTGATCCATGTCTGAATTTATTTATGTTAGTTCATAAACACTGACTTTTGTTGAATTTGAAAATAATGGAAGCTGTTTGTTCAATAATATAGTTTTTTGTCCTTTGGGTCCTAGATTAAGAAGAAACAGCAAGATGTGCTTGGCTTTTTAGAAGCTAACAAAATAGGATTTGAAGAAAAAGATATTGCTGCCAATGAAGAAAATCGGAAGTGGATGAGAGAAAATGTACCTGAAAACAATCGACCAGCCACCGGATACCCCCTACCACCTCAGATTTTCAATGAAAGCCAGTACCGTGGGGTAAGGAATCAATTTAAATACTTGGGTTTTTGTAGGGTCTTTTCAAATGGATTGCCTCAAATCCATCCTATCCATTTCAACCTCTTGCCCAGATATGCATACAATCATTTCTCCTGCTCATTCTTTGCATCCATCCTAAGCAGCTGAAGCCTTTTGCTTATGAGTAGGAGGTAAATGAGTCATCCACCAAAAACTACTTGTAAGTGTATATAAATACAGATTTTGGACATATTAATTCCAACCAGAGCAATTGTATTATTCTTTCTGGTATGTCCATGAAGGAGACTGAAAAGAGGTCAGCCATTTGATTTATTTAGATTAACATTAGTTTTTTTAAAAAGAGGAATGCCTTATTTTCTGCTTGAAACCAGTAATACTTTTATTTGGGTATCATTAATGAATTTTGCTAAATTTTTAATTCAGCTCATTGAACTTATGTAAGGAACGAGAAGAAAATTTTTTTGCTTTGTGACTGGTGCTTTCAAGTATGCCATCTTGTTTACCATTCATTTAAACCATGAGGTATTTTCCTTCATTCTTCATTCATTGTATATTTAAGTGCCATTTGTAGTTTATGGCCATTCTAGGCACAATAGCAAGTAGAAATATAAATAAAACACAATCTCTTCTCTTAAGGAGCTGGTTAGGAATGGGGTGTGGGAAGAATCATACTTACCTGAAACAATCAGAGAGTGGTTATGCAGTCATGGTAGAGAAAGCATAAGTAAGGGCTGTAAGAATTTCCATAAAGAATTATTTGCATTGCTATCTCCTCAGAATTAGCATGGCTGAGGAACAAATGTTTTTAGAGCCAGCAATCCATATCTTTTAGTTCATAGGTTTATATAAGAGTGAGACATTCCTATATAGGAGAGACACTTTTGGTGGGGATCTTTTCATGTACCAATTCAAAGCATATATGGGACGGATATAGTAAATTTGAGAAGTTCATTGGCACAATAGAGTTTGTCTGTGAATTGGTTACTTCTGAGGAGGGGTACTTGAAAATCTTATCTGTTGTTGCAAACACAGCCAATGTGTAAAGACAAACTCTGCAGATAAGGAAAAAGCAATTATGCTATCCATTTAGATAATATAGTTCCTCTATATTTGAAATTTCTGAAAATTAGTGAATCTGAGTAGTTGGAAGAGGCCTCAGGGGTCGTACAGTCCAAACTAAGCCAGCATATATTGTCTTAATCTCTCATTTTTAAAGCAGACATTTCATTTTGTTTGACTTTTTGAAAACAAATGCATTTTGGGTTATAAAGGCAACATTTGAGAAACCACACTTACCTGGTTATTTCTCCTTCGGAAGCCACACTGCAAGGGAATGGAGTATGCTATGGAAATAACACAAGTATCACTGAGAAATGGGAAGATGAAAAAGAAGGGGCGAGAGGGTGAGACTCAACCAAATACATAAACATTTCTAAGTCAAAAAGGAATCCAACTTCTAGAGAGTGCTTGCTGTGTGCCAGGCACTGAGTTAAGAATTTAATAATAACAAAAATGAAGATTTGTCCTTATATAGGCACTTAGAAGGGTATATAACAACCATTCATACAAAACATCACATGCCAGCTATCGTGCTACATGTTTTGTGCGTATTATATCTGTCAGTTCTCATACTAATGCCCCGACATAGGTAATTGTTATTTTTATTTTATAGATGAGGAAATTGAGGCCTAGAAGAGTTTAACTGACTTCCTAAATTGCACAATTAATAAGTGATGCAGCTAGGATTTAAACCTAGATATGTCATACTCTGAAGCTCTTACTCTTTCTATTAAATCACTGCATTGTTCATTTCCCTTTTTACCCAAAGTTCCCATCTTCATTTTTTTCTTGCTCCATTATGTGGCAGGTCTGACCACAGCAAATTACATTGCCAGCTGACTGCCTATTAGGTTTGGCTGATGATAGGAGGTACTGGTTGGAAGAGTGGAGGACAGGAGGAGAGGAAAAAACAAAGTATCCCCCTCCTTTCTATCTGGAGGATCCATGACAGTGGCTGAATCTTTATGGTACCAGCTCTACCAGGTACCCCAGCTCCTGCGTCCTGTAATACTACCTTCTTTACTTTTTCCTTCTGCCTTAGATTTGGTAGCAGCATCCTACTGTTTGTTAATCTCTGGGTTGCCTCACCATCACCTGTTTGCCTTTCAGCTTTTTAATCTTTTCTAAGGAGTTCTTCATATTAAATTCCCTGTTTAAACTATCTCAAGGTTTCTCAACCTTGGCACTACTAACATCTTGGGTTGGACAATTCTTTGTTGTGGGCAGCTGCCCTGCACATTATAGGATATTTGGAAGCATCTTTGGCTTCTATCCTTGAATGCCAGTAGCACCAACAGAGTTGTGAAAACCCGAATATGTCTCCAGACTTTGCCAGATGTCCCTGTGGGAAAAATTACCTCCTATTGAGAAACACTGAACTATGGTGGTTTAGGTTCTTATTTCCAGACTGGAATGTGAGTGAAACAACTACCTTACCTACATACATGAGACTCTGATACAGAACATACAAAATTTATAAATAATCTTTGCTCTGAAAGAGTTTATGCTTGTATATGAAGAACTAAAACACATTATCGTGAAATGATAAATAATATGATACCAATATATGGTTGAATACATTCTGGATTAATATTATTGGAATCTCAGAGATGTAAATAATTTTTTTTCCTCAAGAGAATTCCTATATAAGAAGCAGACTTTGTCACAGTCTGTTTTGTTTACTCTTGTATTCTTAGCACCAAGAATGGTGATTGGAATGTAGTAGATGCTCAATACATATTTGCTGACTAAATTATTTAATCTGGGTTAATTGAGAAACTAATGTTCTTTTCTTTCAAAGTTACAAACCTGTTTGTGTTTGCTAAGTCCAAGGACAACAAATGATAATAGACTTTGAATCTAAAACACTTGAAACAAAGACAAGAGTCCCCTACATAGCATTTTTTATCAGATTTCAATAAAGCTGAAGACCTATATTCTTTCCCATAAATTTAAAGACTGATATGCATTGTTTTTGATTTGATGTTAGTAAGAAATAACTCTTGTATGACTGTTGGATTTGAGGTTACTTCAAAGTCGTTGGGTGTAGGTATGATCTATATTGTTTGTTTACCTTGAGTAGATTATAGATTATGTGTCTCAGTATGGAACTGGTATCAAGATCCGGTTAGTTTTACTTTTGAGTAGTGAGCCCTAAGAGTATAGGAGGTTGCTCATATATGCCTGTTGTTTAGTGTTTATTCTTTTGCCAACATCTAAGGTACACAAACAGATGCTTTTCAGCAACCCATGTGGAGATTCCAGGGGCTCTAAACAATTCTGTGTTTAAAAAAATCCCCAAATAAGGGGAAAATTCTGATGTTTCCTGGGGTGGGGTTCAAATATAGGGTGACCAATAGCCTGAGATGTTCTCAACTTGTTACCTCCAGGTCCCCCAGGTGCCAGGAATTATACATGCTAGAAAATAACCCTGTAACACTGTGATCTGTTGGTGAGGCAATCTCTAGAGAAACTAGCAAATTATGAGTGCTTTCTACCTCTAATTAAATAAGGTAAAATCCCAAGCTTATCTCTCTCTGTTTTAAATCAAACAAACTAAGGCCAGGTATAGACAATGGCTGTGTTTTCAAAGTAGGTTGGCTATTGATTATACCATACTCAAATTTAGGGCATTCTATTTGTTACTTTTGGAGCATATTTGGTGGCTTAGAGGATGATGGTGAAAAGAAAGCCCAACCAAATTTAGTCACGTGAGGCTTTCTTGGCTCCCCAGATGGAAACCTTTCAGTAGCTTGTTTGCTCTTCTGGTCATATTTCATGAAAATCACATTCTCTTTCTCCAAACACAGCACAGATTTACTATTCTTATGGCTGTGGGCATATCTAGCTAATATATAGCCTACCATAGGTTCTGAAGACACCTCTAACTTAATAAATAGTGGAACAAAAATAAGAGGAAACTGGAACAACAAACTCCTGCTAGAATCAGTAACCCCTTACTGGCAAATAGTTGGCTGCTTTGGGCTGTGGAGAAAGCTGCTTGACCAAAGACAGATTTCAATTCTGTATGATATGGAATAAGCCATTTTGAAGTTTCTGCACCACAAAACAGCATATCTTCTAATCTACATTAAATGAGATCCAATAAGCATTGCCTCTTTACTATCCTTTCCACAATTCTAGCATTATAGAAGGTAGTTACCTACTGCCACCAAGGAAGTTGATTAGTCAAGCCATTTTGAATAAATATCCTGTTTTTCTTTCCCTTTTTTTGTTGCATATTGCTAATTTTTTTTGCCTTTTTTTTTCACCAAGGATTATGATGCCTTCTTTGAAGCCAGAGAAAATAATGCAGTGTATGCCTTTTTAGGCTTGACAGCCCCACCTGGTTCAAAGGTATGATTTTCCTGCTTTATAGGCCACTTTATTGCTTCTGAGATTTTTTTTTTTAATTGTAAGATTTCCACCTTTACTAAGTACTCAGATTAAGCCAGAGGCCATGCAACATAACTGAAAGGAAACGTCCTTGTTCTGCATGCACTTAATCCCCAGTAGGGTAGTCACATGTGCATAATCAAATACATAAGTATGTGAGTAAGTGTAGGTAGAGTGACTTCTTCATCAGTCTGCTCAGGGCAGCAAATTTCTCATTAACCCATTTACAAATAAGTGGTAAGCATTTTAAAGACACCATTATTCCAGCTTTCATTCATGGCTCTACATTGACATAAAACATCTTAGTTCATAGTAATCTTCTTGGCAGCATCTACTATCTCTGTGTGAGGCAAATGTTGAGTAATCTATTCAAATTAACTGAGAGCACTTGAGTTTCAAAACTGGCCACAAAATTGCTGGCAAAATTTGGGGCTTTTTCTCTGCCAACAACAAATTAATTTTTCAAGTGGCAGAGTTCCCATGAAGACCATATAAAAAAAAAGAATCAAAAATTAAATTGCCTATATAATGAAATGTCTCAAAGCTATAAATTTTAAATATGCCTTTGCCAGGTCCAGTAGGAAGGAGAAATCAACTCAGGGTGAGGATTAAGAAATAAAATAGCCCATCTGGCATGGCTCAGTGGTTGAGCATCGATCTAGGATCCAGGACATCATGGTTCGATTCTCAGTCAGGGCCTATGCCCAGGTTGCAGGCTTGATCCCCAGTGGGGGGAGTGCAGGAGGCAGGGGATCAATGACTCTCTCATCATTGATGTTTCTATCTCTCTCCCTCTCCCTTCCTCTCTCTGAAATAAAGATATTTTTTTTTAAAAAGAAATAAAATAAATTATAAATAAATAGGGCATGCCCAGCCACCCTGCCCCCTTAAGGATCAGAGCGCCCTGCTGCCCTGACACCTTGACATATATTAGGCCTGGCCTGCCCCATCTCCTTGACATGTGGCCATCCTGGACACACAGACCCGCCACTCCACCCCACATGCCTGACCCAGCACCCTTGGGACAACTGCCCCACTGCCTTGATGGCATGTGCCCAGCCCTGCCACTGTGACCCCATGGCCCCAGATGCACGAATCTGCCATCCCGACCCATTGTGCCTGGCTCAGTGACCCTGGACAACTGGTCCCGCCATTTTGCAACTGGCCCTGTAGCCATGACCTGACTCTACTAGACACAGCACCTGCCTCTGTGACCAGGCATATCTGACCCCACGCCCCTGGAAAACCAGACCCCACTGGAACCTGACACCCCTCNAGAAGCACATACCTGCCACAGTAACCCAGCGTGCCTAACCTGGCTCCACCTGAAGATCGGACCGACGGCTTAGACCTGCCATGACCCATCACCTCCTGATGCATGGACTTTCCCCCATGGCCTGACTGGCCTCATCCAGCACTGTAAACTAATGGACCGCTAAAATGCGAAGACAAAGAAACAAACCTCAAATGAAAGAAAAGGAGGAATCACCAGAAAAGGAACTAAATGAAATGGAGACAAGCAATTTGTCAGATGAAGAATTCAAAGTAATGGGTATAAGGGTGCTCAAACAACTTCATAGAAACTACAAACAACTTAATGAGAAGTTAAGAAACTTAATGAGAACTACATCAGCATGAAAAAGATGTTGAAACAATGAATAAGAACCAATAAAAAATGAAGAATGACATAGCTGAAATAAAGTACCCTGGAAGGAATCGACAATAGACTAGATGAAGCTGAAGACTGAATCAGTGAATTAGAAGACAAGGTAGAAAAAAACATCTATTCAGAGCAGCATTTGGAAAAAATGATTAAAAAGCAGAAGAGTTTAAGAGAGCTTTGGAACAACATGAAACGTAACAATATCCACATCATAGGGGTTCAGAAAAAGCAGAATCGGAACAAGGAATAGAGAACCTGTTAGAAGAAATAATGATAGAAAAATTCCCTGACCTGGTGAAGGAAAAAGTCACACAAGTCCATGAAACACAAAGAGTACCAATCAAGATGAACCCCAAAAGACCCACACCAAGACACATCATCATTAAAATGGCAAAAATTAAAGACAAAATCTTAAAGGCTGAAAGAAAGAGACAGAAAGTTACCTACAAGGGAGCTCCTATTAGACTGTCAGCTGATTTCTCAAGAGAAACAACTCAGGCCAAAAAGAAGTGCCATAAAGTATACAAAGTAATGGAAAGCAAGGGACTGAAACCAAGACTACTCTATCCAGCAAAGCTATCATTCAAAATTAAAGGTGAAGTAAAGAGCTTCACAGACAAAAACAAACAAACAAAAATGTCTAAAAGAGGTTATTACTGCCCAAAAAGCACTGTAAGAAGTGCTAAAGGAACTATTGTAAGAAGAAGAAATAGAGAAAAAGGAACACAGGCATAAAGAATAAAAATGTCAATAAATAAGAACCTGTCAATAATAACCTTAAATATAAATGGCATAAATTCTCCAATCAAAAAACATAGGGTAACTGAATGGATAAGAAAACATGACCTATATGTATGCTGTCTACAAAAGACCTACCTCAGAACAAAAGGACACAAAGGATGAAAGTGAAAGGATGGAAGAAAATTTTCCATGCAAATAGAAATGAAAAAAAAGCTGGGGTAGCAACACTCATATCTGACTAAATAGACTACAAAATGAAAGCCATAACAAGAGACGATGAAGGTCACTACTAAAAGGGTCAACCCAACAAGAGGATATAACCCTGGTAAACATAAATGCACACAATATAAGAACACCCAAATATATTAAAAATAAAGAAAAAAACTTCTGGAGGACTGTAAAGGAGAGACTGATAGCAATACAATCATTGTAGGGGACTTTAACACCCCACTGACATTACTGGATAGATGGAGACAAAGACTGAACAAGAAAACAGCAATTCTAAACAGCACATTAGATCAAATGGATTTAAATGGCATTTACAAAACATTTTACCTGAAAGTTGCAGAATATACATTCTCCTCAAGTGCGCATGGGACACTCTCAAAGATAGACCACATGTTAGGACACAAATTAACTCTCTACACATTCAGGAAGATTGAAATCATATCAAGCATCTTCTCATATCACAAGGGCATAAAACTAGAGATCAACTTCAATAAAACCCCCCAAAACATTCAAACACATGGAGGTTAAATAGCATGTTATTAAGCAATGAAAGGGTTACCAGTGAGATCAAAGAAGAAATCAAAAGCTTTCTGGAAACAAATGAAAGTGAACGCACAACAACCCAGAATCTATGGAACAGCAAAACAGTCCTGAGAGGGAAATTCAAAACACTACGAGAAGAAAAGCCCAGAGTAAGTAGAAGGAAGGAAATAATAAAGATCAGAGGGGAAATAAATGACATAGAGACTAAAAAAGCAGTACAAAAGATGAGTGAAACCAAGAGCTGGTTCCTTAAAAAGATAAACAAGATTGATGAACCTTTAGTCAGACTCATCAAGAAACAGAGAGGACCCAAATAAATAAAATTAGAAATAAAACAGGAGAAGTAGCAAATGACACCACAGAAATACAAAAGATTGTAAGAAAATACTACGGCAGCTGTATGCTAAAAAGCTGGACAGCCTGGACAAAATGGACAAATTCCTAGAAAAATACAACCTTCCTTCCAAAACTCAGTAAGAATCAGAAAACCTGAATAGGCCAATAACAACTGATGAAATTGAAGCAGTAATCAAAAAATTGGCAGGAAACAAAAGCCTTGGCCCAGATGGCTTCACAAGGGAGTTTTACCAAACATTCAAACAACTAACACCTATCCTCCACAAATTATTCCAAAAAATCCAAGAGTAAAGAATACTTCCAAGCTCTTTTCACGAGGCCAGTGTTATCCTGATTCCAAAACCAGATAAAGACACTACAAATAAAGAGAATTACAGGTGACTATCCCTGATGAACATAGGTGCTAAAATCCTCAACAGAATATTAGAAAATGGGCCCAGCATTATATTTAAAAGATCATACATCATCACCAAGTGGGATTTATTCCAGGGATTCCAGGCTGGCACACTATTCACAAATCAAAAAATGTGATACATCTTATAAAGAAATTGAAAGACAAAAATCACATGATCATATTAGTAGATGCAGAAAAAGCATTCGACAAAATCCAACACCCATTTTTGATAAAAACTCTCAGCAAGGTGGGGATAGAGGGATCATACCTGAACATAATAAATACCATATATTACAAACCTCTAGCCAACATCATACTCAGTGTGCAAAAACTAAAACCGTTTCCCCTAAGAACAGGAACAAGACAGGGTTGTCCACTTTCACCATTTGTATTCAACATAGTACTGGAAGTCCTAGCCACAGTGATCAGACAAGGAGAAAAAATAAAAGCCATCCAAATTGGAAAGGAGAATGTAAAACTGTCATTCTTTGCAGATGACAAATTGTACATAGACAATCCTAAAGACTACACCAAAAAATTACTAGATTTAATAAATGATTTCGGCAGTGTAGAAGAATACAAAATGAAGGCCCAGAAATCAATGGCATTTGTATATACCAATAATGAACTCTCAGAAAGAGAAGCTTAAAAATAAGACCAATCCCATTTACTACTGCAACAAAAAATTAAGATACTTAGCAATAATCTTAACCATGGAGGTAAAAGACCTGTATTCAGGAAACTACAGAATGTTGAAAAAAGAGATGGAAGAAGGTATAAACAAGTGGAAGAATATACCATGTTCATGGATTTGTAGAATCAACATCATTAAAATGTCCATACTACCTGAAGCATTCTATAGATTCAGTGCAATCCCTATTAAAATACCAACGGCATATTTCACACATCTAGAACAAACAATTCAAGAATATATATGGAACAAAAAAAGGACACTGAATAGCTGCAGCAGTCTTGAGAAAGAAGAACAAAGTTCAGGAAGCACAATACCAGATACCAAGCTATACTACAAAGTCACTGTAATGACACAGCCTGGTACTGGCACAAGAACAGGCACATAGATAATGGAACAGAGAACCCAGAAATTGACCCAAGCCATTATGCTCAATTAATATGAGGCAATAGCATACAATGGAGTAAAGACAGTCTCTTCACTAAATGATGTTGGGAAAATTAGACAGGTACATGCAAAAAAATGAAACTAGAACACCAAATTCCACCATACACAAAAATAAACTCAAAATAGATTAAAGATTTAAATGTAAGCTGTGAAACCAGAAAAATCTTAGAAGAAACCATATGCAGTAAAATATCAGACATCTCATGTAGCAGAATTTTCACTGTTATGCCTAGGACAAGGGAGTCAAAGGAAACTATAGACAAATGGGACTACATTAAAATAAAAAGCTTCTGCACAGCAAAAGATACCGGCATCCAAAATGTAAAGGGAACCCACTGTATGGGAGAACATATTTGTCAATGATGCATCTGATAAGGGGTTATTTCCAAAATATATAAAGTGCTCGTACAACTTAATAAAAGAAGACAACACAATTTAAAAATGGGCAGAGGACCTACATAGACACTTTTCCAAAGAGGGCATACAAATAGCTAAGAGACATGAAAAAATGCTCATTGTCATTAATCATCAGAGAGGTGCAAATTAAAACAACAGTGAGGTACCACCTCATACGGGCCCAAATGGCTACCATCAGTAAATTAACAAATGACAAGTGCTGGAGAGGTTATGGAGAAAAAGGAACTCCTAGTACATTGCTGGTGGGAATGGAGTCTGGTGCAGCCACTATGGAAAACAATATGGAATTTCCTCAAGAAATTAAAAATGGAACTGCCATTTGACCCAGTGATCCCACTTCTAGGAATATATCCTAAGAAGCCTGAAACACCAATCAGAAAGAATATATGCACCTATATGTTCATAGCAGCCTTATTTACAATAGCTAAGATCTAGAAACAGCCCAAGAGGCCATCAGTAGATGAATAGATTAAAAAGTTGCAGTACGTTTACACAATGGAATACTACACAACTGTAAAAAGGAAGGATTTATTACCTTTTGAGACAGCATGGAGAGACCTGGAAGGTATTATGGTAAGCAAAATAAGGCAGTCAGAGAAAGACAAATATCACATGATCTCACTTATTTGGTGGAGTCTAATGAACAAAATAAATTGACAAACAAAATAGATCCAAAGACATGGAAGCAGTCAACAGACAGACAGTTCTCAGAGGGAAAGAGGTGGGGTGAGAAGAGATTAACCAAAGAAATTATGTGCATATATGCATAATCCATGGTGTGGTGAAAGCCTGGGAAGTGGCCAAGTGATGGGAGGAGAGGGTTAATGAGGGGGATAAAGCGGACATCTGTTATACTTTCAGCATAAAGATAAAAGTAAGTATATAAATAAATAAATAAATAAATAAATAAATAAATAAATAAATAAATAAATAAATAAATAAGATTGGAGATAAAGTACAGAAATAAATATACCTTTGCCTTTTACTGTAGGTCTTCTCCACACTGAATCACTTGAGCAGAAAGTATTTTCCCTATTCCATCAGTTTACATTTTGCCATTAGCAACTGATTTTATATTGAACAGATTCATTGAACTCCAGCTCTTACTCCAAATTTGAGTCTGTGTTATTGTTTGTATTTTCACTAGAAAGCATTTACTAGCATTATTATCTGAGTTACTGTGAAATTCTGTTTTTTTGTCAAACTTCCTTAAAATTGCTTATTTTAGGCTTTGTGTAATGTAAGTCATAAGAAATGTTAGGTAACCCTTTTGTTGTTCAGAATAGTACAGATGTCCCTTTTCCTCCCCATTGACCCTCCCCCCCATCCTGCCCCACTTTCCTCCCCAGTCCCTCACGACACCATTGTCTGTGTCCTTGGGTTGTGCATATACGCATATAAGTTCTTTGGTTAATCTCTCCCCTTCCATCCACCTGCTCCCTTCCATCCTTCTGAGATTTGTCAGTCTGATCCATGCTTCCATGTCATTGAATCATTTCTGTTCATCAGTTTATTAAGTTCTTTAGATTCCACATATAAGTGAGATCATGTGATGTTTGTCTTTCTCTGCCTGGCTTATTTCGCTTAGCATAACATTCTCCAGGTCCATCCATACTGTCCCAGACTGTACAAGATCCTTCTTCTATGCAGCTGCATAGTATTCCATGGTGTAAATGTCCCGAAACTTTTTTAATCCACTCATCTACTGATGGGCATTTGGGCTGTTTCCAGATCTTAGCTATTGTAAATTGCACTGCTATGAACATAGAGGGGCATATGTCCTTTCTGACTGGTGCTTCAGGATTCTTAGGATATACTCTCAGAAGTGGGATCACTGGGTCAAAAAGCAGCTCCATTTTTAATTTCTTGAGGAACCTCCATACTGTTTTTCCATAGTGGTTGCACCAGTCTGCATTCCCACCAGCAGTGTACCAGGTAACTCATTTTTGGTTAAACAAGTTAGTAAATCCCAATTTAAGTCATTGATTTCAGTACATATTTTAGGAAGTGTTAAAAGGAGGATAGTCTGTTTTATGTGACAGTGACTCTCTCTTCTTCAATTAAAAGTAGCAGTCATTCATTCATTTGTTCACTTAAGTATTTATTGAATATCAAGCACTGACTTGGCCTTGATGGTGGGGCAAATACAGAGAATACATCCTAGTCTCTGTTTCAAAGTTTTTATTATCTAATGAGGGACATGTATACAGATAATTATACAACATATATGTCTACACATAATTATAATTTAAGACATATTATTAAAAAAATTAAAAAGATATATTATGACAAATTCTATACTACTGGTTTGAATAAAGTGCTATAGGTGTCCAGAGGAAATAATCATCTATTACTAGTAAGGAGTTTGGGGACGGGATCACAGAAGACGTGACATTAGAGCTGTTATGGATTCCAAAATACTGAAGTTACACTAAGGCATCTTTTATAGAGATGGCAACAGGAACCACTGCATTGGGATGTACCTGCACATGGTGGTAGTGTAGAGTAGTCCCCCCTTATTCATGGGGGATACATTAAAAGTGCATGCCTAAAACTATGGATAGTATTGAACCTTATATATACTATTATTTTCTTATACATACATACCTATGATAATGTTTAATTTATAAATTAGGCACAGTAAGTGAGTAACAACAAAAAATAAGAATAAAATAGAATAATTAAAACATGCTGTAATAAAAGTTATGTAAATATGGTCTCTCTAAAATTTTATTTTACTGTACTCCCCTTTTCACTTAAAAGGAACACTTTATGGCTTCTCTTTAGCATATTTGAACTGCCAGCAATAATACTATTTGGGGGGGATTATTAAGTAGAATAAGGGTAATTTGAACACAAGCACTGTAACACTATGGCAGTTAATCTGATAACTGGGACATCTACTAAGTGACCACCAAGTGGGTATAGTACATAGTGTAGATATGCTGCACCAAGGATGAGTCATATCTTGGGTTGGACAGTCTTTTCCGAAGGTCACTTTCTGTTTTTAAATTACTATTCTTAGTGATTTAAGCTAATGTAGTCCAACCAAAATATACATGGGTGTCTGCTTTGTGATATTTAAATCTAACTGTTTTGTTTGTTTTTTTCATTTCAGGAAGCAGAAGCGCAAGCAAAGCAGCAAGCATGAAACTTAAACATTCTGCCTTAAGCATCGTGGAAAAGGAGTCTCCATTGTTTTTATAAAATAACAAAATTATCTTGGCTTCAAAAGAAATAGGCTTAGTGTTGAAATAATAGATTAGTTGGTGTTTTCGCATGCAAACAATCAAAATGAATACATAATTAAATGTGAATGTTATGATGAGGAGAATGTGAGATGAACGTAAAATTTTAAGTAGATGTCATAGAATAGTTTTGTTATCTGCCAGGGCATTTTGTGTACTTCAATGATTTTTAAAAGCAAACACTTGTGTATTTTGTTGGTATTATTATTGCAGCTTAAGTATATCTGTAGCTCTACATTGAGGAATTTCAAAAGGGGAGAGAGAATCTGTCTTTTGTTTCCAAATTGCCTCATTAATTTTAGGGAACAAAAACATGTATCTTTTTTATGTGACATTATTGTGACTAAAAAGTAGTTGCAGGCAATTTTTGTGATATGGAAAACACTGTAATTTCCTATAGTAATTATGACATTCCCATTCTTTTGTAGTTGAAACTTCTATGTACTGAACTACAGGTTTTTCAGGATTCTAAATGTAGCCTTTCTTGCACATTTAAGTGATCAGAACAGATAACCTCCCACAAAAAAAAAATGCATTCATTTGACAGATTTCTTGCTTAACTACACAGCTCTGATGTAATCATATTTCGAAGTTGCTTGCTGCTGTGAAATATGCATATGTATGTTATGGAAGTGGGATGGTAAGTACATTTAAAGAGGCAACCTTTTGTAAAGAGCTCAGACTTTTAATTAACTGTTATAAAATATGTCAACATTAATTGCCTAAGTCTGTTTTTTGGGGGTCTTTGCTAGCAGTATCTTAGTAGGTTCCCCCTTTTAAAACAAATTGTTATCACAAATGCCACTATCTCGCAGATATTTGACCTTTGTATTTCATCATGGCCACATATTGTATGAATACATTAATCTAAGTATAGAGAGTATTTTCTATGCCTCTTTTCCAGAGAATAGCACAAGCATCAATTTTAAAATGTTAATTCTAAAGACTTCTAAGAAGAAAAGAAATATCATCCTTAATTACTTACCCAGAAAATATACATATTGTGCTTTAGTTCCACACTACTTTATTAATAAAACACCTTTTAAAATTATGTTATCATTGTCATTTGATGTATTCAGGTATGTGCTCTGTGCTAAAATCAACATATAATGAAGACATGGCTTTGTTTACTGTGATTCAAACTTGATGTTATGCTTGAAAATAAACTCAATACTTTTAGAAATATAATTGACGAGTTCCTGGAGTTTCTAAATAGTTTAATAGTAATTTTAGATGAGTAATGCACATTTTTTTAGAGAGATAATAACAAAGAAAGCAATTTGAATGCAATTTCTAAATTTCCATTTTAAGGTCCTGAATTTTTCAATACACACTGGAGTCAAAGAAATATTCCATTATTTTGTGTACAAAAATATGCCCTGGAGAACTCTAGAGAACATGGAGTGCTTTGTAGTAGATTCTGGAAAATGTTCTAAAAAATTGGTCAATATTTTTTCCTGCGCTTTATTAAATGCTGATGATGCTACTTGCAGTATTCTGTGTAGACATTTTTACTTTTATTTTAGTATCCAGTAAGTTAACACTGTCAAAAACAAACAGTCTTCAAAAATACGTGACCTTTTTGAGATGTTTGTATCTACTAGATTATACCTTACAACTAGCACATATGTATATTTAAAGTAAAAGGTTGGATTGAGTCTCCCTAAAATGAAATTTTTCATCTTGTCAGCTGAGCACTATATGTCTGGTAGATACAAGAAAAGGAAGGGAAATTCTGATTATTAAAGTGAGTTTTATAAACAATTTTCACAAAATTTACCTGCAAAGTATAACTGGCTAATTGTTATATAACTTTTGGCATCTTTCTGTGTGTAACTCAGACCTAATATTTTATTTTTCATTTTAGAAGTGAATTGCCCTTAGGAATATATGACCTTCAGGAAGATGTTTATTTTCCGCAAACAATGCAAATTGGTTGTTGATTGTAGCGTTAAATGCCAACATTTCTTTGGGAATCTGAGTGTACAGGGAAACAGAATTTTGAAATAGAGAGTGTTAATTATTTGCTTGGGAAAGTCTAAACATAAAGAATTTTGTGGAGTCAGATTTAATTGCATATATTCCACTTATTCAGCAAAAGGAAAAAGGTTCACATGGATTTTATTACTCAGCTTTGGATGTTGAAAATATAGAAAGATTGACATAAATCTTATTTTTTTCCTGAGTAAAATAAATTTTTTCTTTTGAAAAATTCCAATAAAACTGAGTAAGGGACACTCACATTTGATTAATTTGAACCTTCTGATTTTCTACCCCTGTCTCCCCCACCTCATCTCTGAATATTATCAGTCATCTCCTTTTATTAAGCAAACAAAAATTTGAATTTCTATTTAAATAGTAACCATGCTGTTTATACAATTATTACTTTAGCATAATTTCTTTTTTAAATTCTTTATTGATACATAATTCACATACCATATAATTTAACCACTTAAAGTGTACAATTTGAAGATTTTTACCATATTGTGGGTTGTGCAACCATCACAATTTAACTTTAGAACATTTCATCGCCCAACAAATAAACTCTGTATTCATTAGCAGTCACTCCCCATCTACCCCTCCCTCAGGCCTATACAACCACTAATCTACTTTCTGTTCCTATGAATTTACTTATTCTGAATATTTCACATAAATGAGATCATACTATATGTGGTCCTTTGTGACTGGCTTCTTTGCGGTAGCATGTTTTTCAGCTTCATCCATGATGCAGAATGCATCAGTACTTCATTTTTTATGGCCAAATAATAGTCCATTATATTGATATAACCATCTGTTGTTTATCTATTAACCAGTTGACAGACATCAGGTTGTTTCCACTTTTGGGCTATTATGCATAATTCTGCTATGAATATTTGTGTTATTTTTTTTTGCTTCAAATTGTGTTTTTAGTTTTTTTGGAGTGTATATATAAGTCATATGGTAGTTCTATGTTTAAAATTTTGAGGATCTGCCAAAATTTTCTAAAATTGCTGCACTATTTTACATTCCCACCAGCAGTATATGAGGATTACAATGTCTTCATTTTCCGGCTGACAGTTATCATTTGTCATTTTGAATATAGTCATTTTAGTGGCTGAAAATTGGTATCTCATTATAATTGTGACTTACATTTCTCTGATGACTAAATATGTTGAGCATCTTTTTATGTGATTCTGATTATTTGTATAACTACTATGTAAATATATCCTTTCAAATACTCTACATTTTTAATTGGGTTATATTTTTATTGTTGAATTTTAAGTGTTCTTTATACAGTATATTCAGAAAACAAGTCTTGCCTGGCCGGGTGTAGCTCAACAGTTGAGCATTGACCTAGATTCCAGGAGATTGCAGTTCCATTCCCGGTCAGGGCACATGCCTGGGTTGCAGGCTAGATCCCCAGTCAGGGGCATGCAGGAGGCAGCCAATCAATGACAACTCTCTCATCATTGATATTTCTATCTCTCTTTCTCCCTCTCCTTCCCTCTTTATGAAATAAAGATATATTAGGGAAAAAAAAGAAAACGTCTTATCAGATATGTGATTTACAAATATGTTCTCCCATTCCATGGATTGTCTTTTTCTTTTTTTCTTTTATATTTTTTAAATTTATTTTTTTCCATTACAGTTTACATTCACTATTATTTTGTATTAGTTTCAGGTGTAGAGCATAGTGGTTAGACAAATCATATAGTTTACAAACTGTTCCCCATGATATTTCCAGTACCCACCTGGCACCATGCATACTTATTACAGTATTATTGACTATATTTCCTATGCTGTATTTTACATCCCCATGAATATTTTGTAATTACCAATCTGTACTTCTCAATCTCTTCACCTTTTTCAACTAGTTCCCCAACTCCCTTCCTTTCTGGCAACCATTGGTCTGCTTTCTCTATATATGAGTCTGTTTCTGTTTTATTTGTTTGATTATATTGTTCTCTATATTCCACATATAAGTGAAATCATATGGTCTTTGTCTTTCTCTGATTTACATATTTCACTTAGCAAAATACCCTCCAGGGAGGTTGGAGGACTGGGTGAAAGAAGTCAAGAGATAAAGAAGTACAAAGTGGTAGTTACAAATTATTCATGGGGATGTGAAATACAGCATAAGATATATACTCAATAATATTGTGAGGGAGAACAACATGGCAGCAGATTAGGTAGAAGCTACACTGACCTTCTCCTAGGACCAAAGTAGAATTATAACTAAAATATAGAAAAATCATCCTGAAGAACCAACTGAAGACTAGCTGGAGAGAAGCCTTATAACCAAGAACTTAAAGAGGAGGCCACATGAAGACTGGTAAAAAGTGTGGAGGCATGAGAAGGCTGGATGGGCTCCCACAAGCAGCAGTTGAAGTTCTGGAAGGATTCTCAGCTGCAGGGAATTCCTCTGAGAAGTCTGGGCTTTAAATCCCAAACCAGGTTCCACAGCCCAGAGCACCAGAACTGGGAAAGGTGTCCATAACATCTGGCTGTGAAAAGAAGCAGAGTTTATGTCTGCCAAGGAGAGATGGCTGGAAATGCAGGTACCCTCTTAAAAGTGGCAACAAAAAGTTTCATGTGCAGTCACTCACCTTGGGCTCCAGCAGAGGGAAGGCAGAGTGGACGAGAGCTATGTGAGGAGATTCTGGGATTGGTGGCTCTGGGAGAGAGATGAGAGGACAGCTTTCTGGATCCCTGTGCTGAGTCATTCCCCCATACTACAGAAGCCGTCTTTCTCAAGTAGACCATTACCATCCAAGCAACATTAGCCTGAGGGAAAGTAATAGCCACAGACTTTGGGATCCCTTACAGCCACCCTGTGAAGATTAAGCCCTGACTACAGCCTGAGGTTCATTAAGTGACTGAGACTGACAGCCTGAAGGCAGAGGCAGATCCCTGGGTACTTTGAGTCTTTTGCCTGATCTGCTTCTGGACCCAGGGTTGGTAAAAGCAGAACTTAGTGCACAGCTTGGTCTTTCTCACACCCACACATGCCCAGCAGAGGGAGATAAAAGCTATGCATCGATAGCTCCAAACAGGTTGCTCAGGGCCAAGCACAGACAGTGTCTTACATTGGCCTGCAAGAGAGTCCATCTGAAGAGGTCAAGACCGGTACACCCAGTGGCCAGCTTCAGACAACAGAGCAGGATCCATTAAGTTTCACAAGCAGCATATCCACAGGCAGATTTAAAAATATATATCTTTATTGATTTCAGGGACATTATTATTATTTTTAAATATATCTTTATTGATTTCAGAGAGAGGAAGGGAGAGGGAGAGAGAAACATCAATGATGAGAAAGCCTTTATTGATCAGCTGCTTCCTGCATGCCCCCAACTGGGGATTGAGCCCACAACCTGAGCATGTGCCCTGACTGGGAATCAAACTGTGATATCCTGGATCCTAGGTCAATGCTCAACCATTGAGCCACACCCTGCCAGACATACAAGCAGATTTTGGCAGGCACAAACCCTGCTGAGGTGAATTTCAATTCATGTGATTTGCACGTGCACAGCAGTCTGCCTACTGTGTTGTGATTTGGGTCTCACTGTCAGCCAGCCTGAAGGTTGAGATGATGCACAAATGGGCAAAATAGGGAGACAAAGAAACAGGTCCCAAATGATAGAACAAGAAAATTTTCCAGAAGAGCTAAATGAAGGGGAGGTAAGCAACTTATCAGATACAGGGTTCAAAGTAATGATTATAAAGATGCTCAACTGCATGAAAAAAGATATAGCAACAGCATGAAAAAAGCTATAGCAACCATAAAAAAAGGACCAGTCAGAAATAAAGAATGCCATATCTGAAATAAAAAATACAATAGAAGGAATAAACAGCAGGTTCAATGAAAGAGAATCAAATCAGTGATTTGGAAGGTAGGAAAAAACACCCAATCAGAGCAACAAAAAGAAAAAGGACTTAGAAAAAGTGAGGATAGTTTAAGACTTTTGTGACAACAAGAAGCATAACAACATCAATGTGATAGGGGTACCAGAAGGAGAAGACAGAGAGCAAGGGATTGAGAACCTGTTTAAAGAAATAATGTCTCAAAACTTCACTAATCTGGTGAAAGAAAAAGACATACAAGTCAGGTAAAACTCAGTTAATCCCAAACAAGATGGACCCAAAGAGGCCCACACCAAGACACATCATAATTAAAATGCCAAAAGCTAAAGACAAAGAAAGAATATTGA